GCCCGCCACCTCGCCTGGCTAGTTTTTTGTATTTTTTTAGTAGAGACGGGGTTTCACCGTGTTAGCCAGGATGGTCTCGATCTCCTGACCTCCAAATCCGCCCATCTCGGCCTCCCAAAGTGCTGGGATTACAGGCTTGAGCCACCGTGCCCGGCCCTGCCTGGTTAATTTTTAAGTTTTTTTGCAGAGATGGGGTCTCGCTCTGTTGCCCAGGCTGGTCTTGAACTCCTGGGCTCAAGCGATCCTCCCACCTTGGCCTCCCAAAGCCCTGGTATTACAGCCCTCATTTCAGAGAAGGTCCCACCCCATACCCTGGGGGAAGGAATGGTGACATAAAGCCTCATTAAAACCCATGAGGACAGTGGAGAGCGTCAGGATAGCTGAACTTGCAGAGATTCCTGGAGGGTGGTTTGTCCAGGGAGGGGACAGAAGCTCTGTGCCCCTTACCTATGCCTTGGTCTATGCATTTCTTCATCTGTATCCTTTATTACATCCTTTATGATAAACCGGGTAGGCCGGGCGTGGTGGCTCACACATATAATCCCAGCACTTTGGGAGGCTGAGGTAGGAGGATTGCTTGAGCCCAGGAGTTCAAGACCAGCCTGGACATCATAGATCCTGTCTCTACTAGGAAAAAAAAAAAAAATTAACCAGGAGTGGTGGCGCATGCCTGCAGTCCCAGCTGTTCAGTTTGCACTCCAACCTGAGTGACAGAGCAAGACCCTGTCTTGAAAAAATGACTGGTAAACATTTTTCACTGAGTTTTGTTAGCCACTCCAGCAAATTAAACCCAAAGAGAGGGTGGTGGGAACCTTAACTTGAAACTAGTTGGTCAGAAGTTCTGGAGCCCCAGACTTGATACTGGTGTGGGGATGGGGGCAGTCTTGAGGACTGAGCCCTTACCCTGCAGGATCTGATATTATTTCCAGAAAGATTGTGTCGGAAGTGAATTAGAGGATACCTAGTTGGTGTTCACTGCAGAATTGATTGCTTGCTCTTGGGAAGAAATCTACACATTTGGACACAAAAGTGTTCTAGGTTGGTATTGTGTTCGTGTGGAATCTAGAGGAAAAACACTGAGAGTTTTTCTGAAATAGGTAATGAATTTCACCTTTAGACTTGGGTCCCATTCTCGAGATATCTCATTATATATATGCACATATTTCAAAATACAAAAAAATCTGAAATTGGAAACACCTTCAGTCCCAAGCATTTCCAATGAGGGATATTCAACTTGTTTTTCCCCTTCCTTTCGGCACACCTAAACTGCCTGCCCCAACAAAACATTTTCCTGCCCCCACCCCTCGCCACACATACCCAGTAGTCCATTGGCAGGTCACAGAAAATTGAGGTACACGTATGATGGACATGAGAAGGATTGGGCAATAGTACTCGATATATGAGAGGGAGAAAAACCCACAAACTTGTTTCAAAATTCAAAACATGAAACTGCAGGAAAATATAAGTCTGCTTGACATACAAACTAATGGCAGTAGGCTCTCTCCCTGTCTGTCAGATGGAAAAACACAAAAGACTGTTGCTTTCCAATTGGGAGAAGTTGAATCCTGGAGGCCTGGGGCTGGTCCCACAAATGCTAATAACAGAGCTGAGGTTACTGAAAGGCTGGGGGGAAGTCCTATTGAACCATTTCATCTTAACATAAGTTGGAGGAGAGTTAATTGGGCAAAGGACAGTTAAGCAATTTGCTTGATGGGGAATGACATGAGATGATAGTTTGTCCTTTGTAGGAGGGTGTTCATTACCTAGGCCCAACTCAAGAATTTTGAGAACTCTTGTTGTAGCTATCCCATGCTCACGAACCTCAGATAGGAACTGTGGTAAGGGCTTGTATTAGTCTGTTCTCATGCTGTTATGAAG